ACATTTCAGTAATGGGATCCCAAAGGTGCTTTTTCAGGAGGCAACTGGACTTTCTTGGTTTTTCTTTGAAGAAGATTCGCTTCTCATCCAAGAAGCCTCTTCAGCTCTGACTGGATGGTGGGGAATGGAAGGATTTATACTCCTTGTAATCAGCTGGTCATTTGCATCCTTTTGGAGGGTCGTTGAGGCACTTGGAGGTTTATCTGCGTCCTCAGGGTCACCTGAGTGGTGCAAATGGTTCTTGTGGTCTGCAGTCCTTCTGAAAATCTCCCACACCATTCGAAGGGTATTCATCCTTCAATCGTCTTCAAAGAAAAACCAAGAAAGTCCAGTTGCCTCCTGAAAAAGCACCTTTGGGATCCCATTACTGAAATGTTCTGATGGGTGTGAGGAACCCACCCTGTTCAGGATTTGATCACTTCATAAAGTCCCTTCTAACTTTATTCTATGTTCTGTGTTATGTTTGGTAGGGTTTCAAGGTTCTGTTACATTACCCTAATAAGCAATAGCGATCATTCCAGAAATTGAAATAATTCTTGTATCAGGTTTCCTAAAAATGCCCTAATTGATTCATGAGTATTGAGCCAAGTTTCAATACAAAACTAGTTATTTATTAGGAGCACCATAGGCAAGCCTTTTTGCAATTAGATCTAGCTTTGTTTGAGTTATGATCTGAACTTTACCCCTGTTCCTTCCCTCCCCTGTCTGTGTCATAAATCACATTCCCCAATGAGGTGCCTCCCTCCCAAGCCTGCTGCAGTAATCTGAGATCCAACCTTACCCGAAAAGTATGCGTGGAATGCGCTCCCCTCACTTCTCTCACAATGGCAACATTAGGAGTTGACATCTTGTTTATTTTTAAAAATTTAAAAATGCAAATAATTTAAATTGCCAGCTTGACAGGATAGTAAACAAACTGCAGAAGCGGTAGGACCACGCCTGTTTTTGAGAAGGCATCTCTTGTTCCTCTTATGCCATCCAATGATTACACACGTCACCATCAACTTGAAGTTTTGCCTGACATCCAGGGAAGCATTTTGCACGATGACAGTTTTGTTATGGTGCTGTTAGTGTGGCTATTTGCATAGCTGGTTGGACACAGCAGTGGGATTCCAAATCTTTTCCTACCGGTTCTATGAGAGAGCGCTTCACGCATGCACATGTGCTTTGCGTGCAGGCACTCCTAATGCATGCATTGCACGGATGTGCAGCACTCAAAGACCGCCCTCTGGTTCAGCGCTGGTGAGCTGAGCTGTTGTTTAGCGCAGCTGAGGAGCGGCAATCCACTCTGCTGCGCAAATCAGCTGAGCTAAAAAAAACCAAGGGAATATACGACAGGGAATGGCGAGAGTGGGAGGGCCGGGTCAACCAGAGGTGGTATTTGCCAGTTCTCCAAACTACTCAAAATTTCCACTACCAGTTCACCAGAACCTGTCCGAACTGTTTGAATACCACTTCTGGCTGCACATACTAAACAATTACAGTGTGATGATCTATACTTAACAGCTCAACAGGTCCCACTTAAAGCAGATGGTCTCTTGTGCCCAGAAGTTCAGCAGGGAAGATTGAAGCCACTGAGATGTTTATTAAAAAATGGCTGCTTCTTATGAAAAGAGTCCCTTTGCCAGAGAATTGAAGATACAACACGCTGTGCTTACCCTCATTTTGGTCCCTAAACAAAATGCCAAATTGTATTTATATAAATATTAAAAATTGATAACTGGGGTTGAGGGAAGGGCTGGGAATGATTATCTCTGTATTCAGAAGGAACAGCCAACAAAACTTCATTTTATCTCACCTCCAAGATTTGGCCAGCATTATGTTATGTCTAAATGTGCTCAGCCTTGCTTTTTTCTGGAAATTGCTCTCATGTTTAAGAGCACCCCCCCCCCCCCCCCCAAAAAAAATGTTTGGTTCACCTTTGCAGGGTCGGGTTTTCCCCAGACTGCTGATCACTGTCTGTTGATGTAATTTGGGGCTACCTCACCATGCCGAGCCCAGACTGATTGTTGGAAATAAGGAAATGATGATACACATATGACATTAAATAAAGAAGAGCAGTCAATAATTAAACTCTGCCAGGTTCCTCCTCTCTTTCAAGTCTACTGTGATACCAGATGGGAATTAAATTGGAGAGAGGAGAGGGGGTAAGAAAGATGCAGATTCATTACAGAGAAATTGTTTTAGCTGTGCAAGTTTACAAACCAAATAAGCCCAGCTGAGTTATCTGGAATTTGCTCTAGGATAACTACATGTAACATTGCAGCTAATGACATAAGAACATTTTCACGCTAATGTTCCCATTTTGCATAATCTAGGACAGTGATGGATAACCTTTTTTTGTCATCGCGTGGCGACAACGCGCACTCATGCGTGCCTGCTCCCATAATGCTATGCGCACCACGTACCTTATGCATGTGTGACCCTCCCGCGCTCTCCCCCGCATGTAGGTATTACCCCCCGGCTCCTGTTTTGGGCCTAGCAGGCCTCCCTGTAGTCTCCTGTGACCAAAAACAGGCTGTGGGCAGGGGCACCACCCCCCGCTCCCTGTCATCCCCCATGCCTGCGCCCTGCCCCCCACGCATGTGTGGCAGAGACCCCCAAATCAGCTGGCCAGCGGGAAGCACGTGCACATGCCTGGTGGAGCTGAGCTGGGGCGATGGCACATGTGCCGGCAGAGAGGGCTCTGGGTGCCACCTGTAGCACGCATGTCATAGGTTCCCCATCAGGGATCTAGGCTGATCACATAATCTAGCGTATTCTGCTGCAGAAATCAGGTTGTCCTGGAGCCAAAATGTGGCACTGTGTTTTTTTTAAAGAACCAAATCTTATTTCAGGATCCTTCAGTCGTTCACATCCAGATTCTAGGAGGTGGTGTAATAAGGCGTCCTTGGTGCTCTCTGAGCTTGGTTGTTTCTTTGCGGACATTTCATTACCAAACCAGGTAACATCATCAGGGTGCCGATGATGTAAGTTTAGTTTCTTGGCAAAGCTGAAGAACTGGACCATGAAGAGGATGCAGCGTTACTGAAAGCTACTAAAATCTTGACCATATTGCTTTTTTGTCTCTACTTACAGGATTCCACGTGATTCCAACCCTTTCCAGCATAGTTCCCGAGAGCTGCTTGCTCATTGTCGTAGGACTGCTGGTCGGCGGACTCATTAAAGCCGTGGGGGAAACCCCTCCAGTCCTAAATTCCAAGGTCTTCTTCCTCTTCCTTCTCCCACCCATCATCCTGGACGCTGGTTACTTCTTGCCCTTGCGCCAGTTCACTGAGAACATGGGCACCATCTTGATTTTTGCGGTGATTGGGACATTATGGAACGCTTTCTTCGTAGGGGCTCTGATGTACGCCGTGTGCCAGGTAGCTGATCCTCTTTTGTCAAACATTGGCCTCTTGCACAACCTGCTCTTTGGCAGCATCATCTCCGCGGTGGACCCTGTGGCTGTGCTGGCTGTATTTGAAGAGATTCACATCAACGAACTTTTGCACATCTTGGTGTTTGGTGAGTCGTTGCTGAATGACGCCGTTACTGTGGTAAGTAGAGCGCAGCTTTGGCAGAGCTGGCTCTGTCCTGGAATAAAGGAAGACTTTGTGGATTTGGGGCACTGTTGAAGGCAGCAAAGGAGGAGGAGACACCTACAATGTGCATGATTCAACACAATGTTCATTCTCCCAAAGAAACACACTGTTCTGACCTAAGCTTCCCCAGCAGCACGAAGCCGAGTCCTCGTCCCGATAAACCCTTTTTATTTAATTCATAGTGAATTCCTCTCCAGAGTCCCAGCCCACAGTCTTTCAAGGTAGTTCACAATTACCAACCTTTATCAGGCTTGGAGACTGGCCAGGCCGATATCTTTCAGATGCTGCAATACTTGGCACGAATGTAGGAATGAACTAATTGTCTCCTGCAAACTCCACTCCCCTTTTGCTCCTCTTTTATTCCCTATGGGAGGGGCCATTCACCATCCACCTGTGGCCTTACTCCCAAGTTGATCCTTGTTCCTTAGCTCTTACCTTCATCTGGCAACTCTGTGCATGAGCACATTGGGAATAGGCTCCAGCTGTTCATTTGTCTCACTGGCGTCTGACTCCGAAGGCAGCTGATAACTCTCTGCCTCCGACCCAGAGCCCTCATCAGAGCCTTCCCCAGATTCCAGGACTGGCCCATGTTCCTTCCCAACCTCCTCACTGTCTGAATTTTCTGCCAGCTCCACTGCGGGCCACAACAAGAAAATCTTTACCAATTTAATATGAACGATACCATATTTGAGACAGTTTGTTATAGGCACTAAAGTAGAAACCAGGAGACCATAAGTTCTAGTTGCTAAGGTTGAGAAACTTTGGATTTGGCTGTGGGCCTTGTCATAGTACTTGTCTTGCATTCCATAAATTTGTATATTTAATTTCAGGAGCTTTAGATAAGTGGGTAAAAAAGATCTTCTCTAAAGACTTGCTGCTAGCCACTGTTGATAGTACTGAAGTAGTTGGACCAACAGATTGGCCTGAATATGGTAATTCATTCACTGTAGTCATGGCTAATGGACTTCATAATACATTGGTTGAAACATTACTACCCTTTTAAAAAATTAAAGTATTCATTCCAGCCTCTTAATCAGAGATTCCCCAAGTGCCTAGCAATATTTATCCAAAATCCAATAGAAAACGATAAAGCCCCAAACATAATTTGGAACAAATGAAACTAAAATAGCTAATGGGCCACTAAAAAAAAGCCTTCCAGGACATCAAAAGATATTAGCAATTGGAAAAAGATGAAGGCTTTCTAAAGGTGAAGCCTGCTAAATGTCAGAAACCAAAGGCAAAGTTTGGACAAAATCGTTTAACTTCATGAAACACACTCATGCATTTGTTTTTAAATTTACTGCATTATATTTCAGGTAGACTAATATTTATTTAAAACAAGGTAGTCCTCAAATTAAGATCATTCATTTAGCGACCATTCAAACTTATGACACTGGAAAAAAGTGACTTGCAACAGGTTGTTGTTGTTAGTTGCGAAGTTGTGTCAGACCCATCGCAACCTCATGGACAACGTTCCTCCAGGCCTTCCTGTCCTCTACCATCCTCTGGAGTCCATTTAAGCTCACGCCTACTGCTTCAGTGACTTCCTCCAGCCACCCCCTCCTCTGTCGTCCCCTTCTTCTTTTGCCCTCCATTGTTCCCAGTATGAGGCTCTTCCCCAGTGAGTCCTTCCTTCTCATTAGGTGGCCAAAGTATTTGAGTTTCATTCATTAGTTGTTTAAATTGAACTTAT